AACAACAACCATTGTATTGATAACATAGTATTTACATTGTGTTCAAAACATTACTTGTTTAACATTAAAATTATAGCAAAAGATAAGACGTAAAGCTACTATGACTCATCGCGTAATGCCCAAGATGGTACTTGTCTACTAACTTTCCTGAGAATACAAGTGATTTGAAAAAGTATCAAAATTAAAGTTGGTGGGTTCATAAACATTTTTGTTTTAGAAAATAAGTTCTTTGTTCATTGTAAATGTTCGTGTGTTCTTCCAGAAAATCCAAGATTTTCTTAGTGAATAAGTTATACTCTTAGTACTTTGAGACCAAGAAGTATAAGTTTCTTATGTTTGTACTCTGTGATTTGAGCTTCTGATTCGTTTAATTTGTATGATCCATACTCTTATCTCCTATGATTGCTTAGTGTGTACAATTAAAAGAAATCAATAACAAACATACAATCAATTGAGTAATTCTTCCTTAAGCCCACAACCAAACAAGAAATAGGAAGAAAGACGAAAATCATACATTTCACTGTCTATCGGATATTATTTATATATAACTCTGATGTATATGCTAAAGAATCATAGAATTAACAATTAATGGTCATTTATGTTATACTAGTTTGTAAATAAGTACCGAGTCTTTTGTAAAAATGTTCCTAGTTTCACCCACTCTATTGTAAAGCATTGTTTTTTATAAGTAATCGCATTTGTTTTCAGAAAGTTGAATTGTAAACTATCTATGGGTAAAATAATGGTTATCCTAGAAAATCTTGTATTTTCCATAAAATCGTTATGTAGTCTTAAACGTTCCAATACTGAAAAGTACAAGTATAATTGTCATACTAACTTAATGATACGTAGTTTTATTCGTAAGTAAAACTAGTTGAAGTTGTGTTTTCTCTGAAATCCGAATGTAAAGTTAATATTCAAAGAAAATTATTTGAAACTATATTATTCGTAAATATGTTGTTGTTTTCACCTTGTGAGTTCTTATGACCATACTAACCCAGTCGGCTGATTGCGACGTTCTTCAGGCATCGGAATGTTAACGACATTTGTCACCCCAGGCCTGTCGGTCTAACTGTAGCTAACAGTCGAGGTGTGAGATTGTCAATCTCAAATAGATCTATACACAAATATCTCGCTCTCCCTACAAGAGATTATGACTATAAGTCAATACTTTTACCCGTACTTAGATAAGTACACGAAGACGTCTCACAAATTGATTCAAAGTGTTGATAAGTAATAACTGAAAACCCTTTTTGTTTATATGTTAACCTGTACTTTGTAAAATAGTATCTTTGTTCCATAAATTATACATATTATAGTTTATAAGTTTGTTTTCGTGTTTGTTTGAAATTCGTTGCGTCTTAACATGTTTTTTTTAAATCATTTGTAAATTCAATAATAACAATATTTTATGTATTTAGTAAAATACACGTTTAACTGTATATTATGGTAAGAAAATATAATAAGCAATTTATATTTTTAAACACAAGATTACTTGTGTTTTACTTGTATCCCCCCCCCCCCCCCCCCTAAAACAATTTAAAAATCGTGAAAACTAGGGGTATGAACTCACCTCGAATGTGTGTGCTAGTTCGGACGCAAATTGATTGCGAAGGATCCCCGTGTTAGAATACGTGATTTAGCCGTATCCTAATAATATTTATAAACGATATCGTATTTAAATTAATAAGATATTAGTTTAAATAATAATGATTTAAATAATAATTAAAGTGTTAGACAACACTTATGAGAAATACTTATAAATGCCTTAGGAATTATGTGGAATAGCTCTAGGCGTTTTCGGTGAGCAAGGAGGAGTTTGCGGTGAGTGTTTGGGTGTTTTTGGTTAGAAGCTTGAAGATTTGAAGATATTGATGAATGTTCTTGGTGGAAAAAAGAAGATCCGGGTAGAAATCCCTTGAAGATATGAGGTTTACGGATGATACTTGAGAGTAGGGATGTCAAAAACCCCCGTGAGACCTCGAACCCGTACGGGACTAAATTTTTAAAAAAACTGGGAGCGGGGGCAAAATTAAACCCCACTTATTTTCGGGATCGGGGGCGGGAATTGGTATTTCCGTCCCGTACTCCTGCGGGGGTCCCGCTTGTACATTTATGTAAAAAATATATATTTAATATAAAATACAAATACAAAATAGATTTTCTAATTTTAGGTTTAGGTTATGTTTTACTTTACCATTTCCAATTAATGGATATTAAAGAGGTAGTGAATTGATCATATAATTTTGTACATGTTAGTATTTTATATTTGTAGTATTGGATTTGTCGTGTTTTATATTTATAAGATTGTTAGAATTATCATTTTGTAATGTTGGGTTCGTAATGTTGGATTTTTAATTTTTTAGTTTCTAAAGATTAGGTTTTAAGCTTTTAAAGTTGTTAAAAATAATATTTTTAGTCTAAACCATAGTAGTTGTTTAGAAAAAAAAAATCGAATTTAAGCCTATAAACCGGGGGAACCGGGGGCGGGACCGGGAGCGATGGAGGTAACCGGGGGTGGGACCGGGGGCTATGTAAGCGGGGGAGCCGGGAGCGGGGGTACCAACTGATTTCGGGGTGGGAGCGGGGGCAGCTATTTCCGCTCCCGATTGGCCCCGTTGACATCCCTACTTGAGAGCAAAAGTGGAAGTGCTTACGATTGGGACATTGAGAAATAAATTGGGTTTGCGGCAAGACACTTATAAATAAGAGGGGGTTTTGGCCTTAAAGGGTCTCTAGCTTTGGGTTTTCGGTTTCTAATTGGGCTTTTAGAGATGTTTTCGGTCATAACCTTTTCACAATTGAGATTTCGGTCACACATGGACTGAAAACACCATTTGATCTTTATTTCCAAGCCGTAAAGCTATTGCTTCTATAACTATTGGACCAAAAACTAAAAGATCCTTGGATCTTAGACCGAAAACTCATATATGGGAGGTTATTTCATGTTTTAAACTTTTAACTTTTAAGTTATGTTGACATATATTAGTGTAAATCAACTTAGGTTTCTAACCATACTTAGTTATTAACTTAAAAACATGCCCTTAAGGCATTTGAGGATACATTGCAACAAGGATTGCAATGTGGTTTTACTTGTACTTGGTTAGGGTTTAGACCACGTTAGTTCTAAAAATTTTGGGTTGTGACATCAACTCCGCACACACAACGTCGATCTCACACACAGACGAATAGAAAATGCATGAAAGAGAGAAAGAGGGAATAGATGGGTCAAAGTATTCTTTTAAAGGATGTTTGGTACAGGGAAATAAAACCAAGGAAAAGGAATTGATTCTCTTTCTCTTGTTTGGTTAATGTAAAAAGTAAGGAATTTAGAAATAAACCAATTTCTTTTCCATTAAAACAATTCTCTATTTTTAAGAGAGAAAATTAAAGAAAACAAAAAGGGGCGTGCGTCGAGAATCAGAAAAAAAAAAAAGCGGAAAAATCATTTTACCCCCCCCCCCCAATTTGATTCCCGTTAGATGCAGATCCTGATTTTTCAAACGAAGCATTGGATTTTCATGCAGTCGCCCCACGTAAGTGATACAAATTATTCCCATTGTCCTACACACGCCGTATACGATTTGTGTTGATCGATTCACGCTTCATTGGGTCTTTGCAGCACCTTCTTAGTCGAGTTTGGCACCAGTTTATTCCAATCAAAGGTAAGACTGCACTATTCAGTTTTAATTTTGCTATGATTTTGCGTAGGTCAAATTTTGTCTTTATTTTTCAACGACTCATGGTTTTTCAATATATTAATCTTTTGAATTGAAATTCAAACGAAGTCATTTTGTTTTTCAATTATGCTTGCTTTTGAATTAAAATTCATGAATTATGTTTTTCAATATATTAATCTTGCAATTGAAATGGTAATTAGGGGACCAAATTATAAGAAAAGTCTATGACAATTTTGTTGTGCAAATTGTATACTTAGTATGTTTCACATAAATAAATTATAAATGTCTAACTTTGAACCATCAAAAAATATGCATACGATTTCGGAATGGGGCGTTTCTTTTTACGAGATGGTTGCCCTTTGTCTTGTCTACATGTTAGGATAAAAACATAGCTGAATTGGTTAAGTTTTGGCTAAGTTATACAACCGTAAACAGGGGATGTTATGATTCTTTTTTAACTATTCAGTACTTTTTAGAAATTTTGTCCAACTTTGAACCATCATAAAAGCTTCATACAAGCTCAAAATGATGCGATTTTTTTCTCAAACCGTACTCCTCTATCTTATCTACATTTTGGAATAAAAAAACAGCTTAATTGGTTAAGTTTTGGTTGAGTTATACAACCACAAACAGGGGCTATTATGATTGTTGTATGATATTTCAACACTTTTTAGAAATTTTGTCCAACTTTGAACCATCATAAAAGCTTCATACAAGCTTAGAATGATGCAATTTTTTTTCAAATTGTACCCTTATGTCTTTTCTGCATTTTAGAATAAAAAACAACTTAATTGGTTAAGTTTTGGTTGAGTTATACAACCACAAACATGGGTTGTTATTATTGTTGTATGATATTTCAACACCTTTTATAAATTTTGTCCGACTCTGAACCATCATAATACTTTCATACAAGCTCGGAATGATGCACTTTTTTTTTTCAAATTGTACTCTTCTGTCTTGTCTATGTTTTAGCATCAAAAAACAGCTTAATTGGTTAAGTTTTGGTTGAGTTATACAGCCACAAACAGTGGCTATTATGATTGTTGTATGATATTTCTGCACCTTTTATAAATTGTGTCAAACTTTGAACCATAATAAAAGCTTCATACAAGCTCGGAATGATGCAATTTTTTTTTCACATTGTACTCCTCTGTCTTGTGTATGTTTTAGCATAAAAAACCGCTTATATGGTTAAGTTTTGGTTGAGTTAGACATCCCCAAACTTAACCAATTAAGTTAAATTACTATTTCAAACGCCAAACTTCATTGTTAAATTGAATTACTATTTCAAGCATCTATTATGTAAATTTTTTTGTAGACATGACAGGGCAAAACAAAAATACATGGACTACTGAAGAGGATGCAAAGTTAATTGAAACATTGCTGGAGTTACATGTATCCGGAAAATATGGTGTTGCCGACAACAGATTCAAACCCGGTTATTTGAAGGCAGTGCAACAATTACTAGATGTAAGTCTTCCTAACTCGGGTTTAAAAGCAGAGCCTGATATTAAATCTAGGATGAAGACATGGAAAAACCATTTCAACATCGTGCACGACATGGTATATGGAACAAACACGAGTGGATTCAGTTGAGATACAGATAAATGTTGTGTTACTGCCGATGTTGAAGTTTGGGATGAGTACATAAATGTACTATAGTGATTATGTTTGTAGTATTTTTAGCACCATTAAAACATATTGTAAATGAATAGTAACCAATTAATTTTGTGCCATTCTTGTAGAGTCATAAAGGTGTTGCATGTTTTCGCGATAAACCATTTCCCCAATTTGATAACCTATGTAAAATCTTCGAGAAAGTTAGAGTTACTGGTCATGGAGCTACTGATCATGGTGAAGATGTGACTGAAGAGACACAAAGAAACTTACATGTTGATGTGGAGGGGTTGGAAGAGATTGTTGAAGAGACGCAACAAACTGCTCATGTCAATATAAACGCAAAAGGCCTCCAATGGATGACATATAAAGCTCTTAAAAGGAAGCACCGAAAGAAATGAAAGAGACTTTCAAGGTGGTTGGTGAAAAACTTAATGAAAAAAATATACAATATAGGAAGGCAAGAAAATAAAAAATCATGTGATATGATATATAAAGTTATCGAAGATACACAACGCATGCCAAATACCAATGTCAAACAAGGAATTAAGGCGATTGACATGCTTAGCAAAGATCAATTTCGTGCCCGGACGTTTTTTAAGATGACAGAAGAATAAAAGATATGTTACATGGAAATGATTGGGGATGACTCAATATCATGATTAAGTTATTTTAAGTTATGTTTTTTTAACGAATATTGAAATTGATTCTTTGCACATTCTCTATTAGACATAGTTATGTTTTTTTAGTTGTTAGAAATATTGAGTTATACTTGTTGCACATACATTGGACATAGTTTTTGAATTTAAGATTTGCATATTTCTTTAAAAATCTATTTGTAAATTATTCTTTTATATTAGAAATATGTTTTCCAATACAAGATGTATAAAAAGTAATATTAATTTATTAGAAAATAAATTATTTAGTAACAATTAATATTTAAAAAAAATTAATAACATAAAAGATGCATATTTTGACTAATTAAGATGTATATCATAATGCATTTTTATGAAAAATGTTTTTTGAAAATGAATAAACAAGGTAAAAAAAACTCATTTCCATTTCATTGATTAATACAACCAAACAAGAGAAATGATTCTAAAAAACATTTTCCTAGTGGATTCACAGTTCTACCAAACAGGGGAGTCAATTCTCTTTCTCCAGCTTAATTCTCTTTCTCTGTATTTTCATTCTCTGCAGTAATTCCATTTCTCTCTACCAAACGCACCATTAGAGTCGCTGAAGGGAGTAATAGACAGATGGGGAATGGGTGTCGGAGATCAGGCTGCCCAACAGTCGTGACTTGTGATGATTGTGGGCCTTTCCCTCTTCTCATTTTGATCAACAAACCATAACCAACTAAATCACAGCTTCCTTGTTGCCTTATGATTTGTTGATTTGTTGCGGATTGAGAACAGGTAAATGTTGATGGTGGTGGAGCAATGATTATGAACATCTGGTTTCATGGAGTGGATAATCTATGGAGAAGATGGTTGAATCTTGTTGCAGGTTTTAAGGCTTCAAGATGATATGGTGATGGGGCGCCGATGGTGGGAATTGATGATAATGAGGAGATGAAGGTAGGAGTTGGGGAAACGGAAGGGGGTACTTTTTTATTTTCTTTTTTATTTAATCTAAAAATGATAATATAAATAAAAGGAAATGGAAAAAGAAATTAATAAGGACAAAATAGTTATTTCATATTAGTAGGGTTGAAGCACACAAGTTTATAATAAATAAAGGACGATTCGAATTAATTTTTTAAAATAAAGATTAAATGTGCTTTTTGGCATATATACATAAAGGACGATTCATGTAATTTACTCTAGAAGTTTATCGTTAGGTCCATCATGTGGAAATTATTTGGTTTAGATTTTGATTAGGTTTATCATTTGAAAATTTTTGTTTTGATTTTCATTAGGTTTATCATGTGCAAACTGTAGAAGCAAGCTAAATCACTAAAAGCTATTTAAATGTTTTCTAATAATCAAAGATACGAAAAGATGTAGCTTGTTGTAATGAAGGGTTTTATTTTTATTTTTTTTATTTTATTTTTTATTTTTTTAATCTCAATTTTCCAGAGCTAAAACATGCACGAAAGATGCTCTAGTGGCTATGGATAGAGACAACGATGATGAGGATGGGCAAATGATACAGTAGCAAATGTTTAACGATGCAGGTATAAAGAGGATTATGGATTAAGTGTAGGACATTGCTCTCTTTATAAAATTATTGTAACTAAATAAATAAAATTTTGTTAAAAACAAATTAATTAGGGGCAAAAACCCTTTTTACGTATGATAATGTAACAAAATAAAGTATAATAGACCATCCGAACAAAAAAAAAAAAGAATTAAGGACTAATAGAACAAATTATCCTAAACCATGGAGACATTCATATAATTTACCCTATCATTTATTAGAACCGAAATTGTAGAATAAACTTTTTTGATTGACTATTAAAAAAAACAAAATAAATAAATATTTTTTAATTAATTAATTGTTGATTTATATTGTTACTTATAAATTATTTTGATTAAACCTTGTTTAGCAAATTAAATATTAAATATTTTCCAATCATGTGTTACCTTTATGTGTCATCTTAATTGTTGCATAAGAATTTAGACATTTAACAAAAACAAAATATCTTTATTAAACCGTGTAGTAAATTACAAGTCGTCATGTAATATTATTATTCGAGCCTTCTAAAAAAACCTAATTAAAAAAGTGTTGAAAAGGATATTTTAAATTACTTTGGAAATACCCAAAATCACTTGCATGTTGCTATACTTTCGCTTCTTATTGGTATAATTGTAAACAAATCAAACGAACACAAATGCAAGTTGTTCATGTTCGTTTGTTTAAGTTAACCGAACAAACGAACAAATATGAATTGATAAACGAATCAGTTTTCTTGTTTATGTTTGTTCATTTAATAAATTATATTGCTCATGTTTATTTATTTATGTTCGTAAGCATGCTAAACGAATATAAATAAACGAAGATAAATGAATATAATTAAATATATGATATATTAATGTAATCAAACACAATTGAACATATATGAATATAAGATGAACTTACATGAACGAACATAAACGAACATTAATGAACATAGTTGAAAGAATGAGACCAATGCTCATGTTCGTTCATTTAACCAAATGAACAAGAACTTGTATTCATGTTTATTTGTTTATTAAATAAACAAAATAAACGAACTTTCCGTCGAACAGTTCACGAACGGTTCGTTCAGTTCGTTTACATGCCTACGTATTGGAATTATATGATTGAAAATAGTAAATGCATCTTCTTGAGTTAGCATAAACCAATCCTAAAATAATAAATAATAAATAATAAATAAATAACTATTGAAATCTCCAATTGCATGAAATCGGTCTGAAAACGTATTCCACTGTGGCGATATGACATTGTAGTATGGTCACTTCTAACACAAACCAAAGTCACCCTATTGAATTCGAACCCTTCGAATATGCTCCAGAAAGAAAGCCAATCTGAACTCCAATCCCAAATCAAAACGCAAGCCGAGTCTTAAAGATGGACATCCCTAATAGAGATTGAGATTCGAAAGTAAGAAAGATGTTAACACATGCATGAGTTGACATATAGGAGGACTCTAAGGTCAACAAGGACCAAAAAGGTCTGATCTTTTTGAATCGAGTTCTTAAACGTTTCCTTAAAGAAATGGATAAATGTGATTACCAAAAAAATGACAAAATATACATGAAATAGGGTAATATAAATAAAGATGTAACATTATTTGTTGTTTTGTTTAACAGGTTGAAAAAGCCAATGACAATAAAGTGGTCAAAGTGATGCAACCATTTTAAATAAGGTGCTCAAAATGTTCCGATTTGAAAAGTTTCAAACATATTGAGTTTTGAAATATTGTTAAAGATTGTTCAAATGGTGTGCATTATGAATGGATGAAGCACATGTGGGTGATTCTAAAAGATAAAAAAAAAAAACATATGATTTCGACTAAATTATGTCGTCACATGCTTATGCCCTGGTTCGACCTTAATGACGACAACACAGTTGAGATTCCACCACCTACCCGTCCAGTGAGAAAAGACAAAACCAAATAAAAGGAAGAATGTAAATCGTCAACTTCGAGTAGTAGAAACCGTTTTGATGAGCAACAAGAAATTCTGAAATCTAACAATAAACTTCAAAACAATTATTAATTGTCTTTAATAGATATGATACAAATATATGTTATATATTATAAAAAACTAAATAAATCCATATTACTTGACTCTTCAAAAAAGTTAATCAAACCATTTAACAAATATGGATTTCATATATCCCAAACGGGAGAATATTAATATCCATCCACCTTAAGAAGTTAGTTTAACGAACTTCTAACTTGATCTTGTCGTTATCCCTAGTCTTCCTTTAAATCATATATCTCAAGCGTTGGTGTGAAATCTTTGCAATTTTCATCAAGGTGTTCTTTGATTTTTCAGAAAAGTCATTTTTGACCATTTCTTGCTGCACCGCGCAAAACTCGGTCTTTTGTAGTTGTTTATTTTTTAGAAGACTTCTAACTTAAAAACTGTCGTTCGTGTGATACATGGTGCAACACTTGACCATCCTCTTCAAACCACTTCTCACTTACTTTAAGTTATATTATCAAATATAGATTTGTTTTAATTTTTTTTTAACATTTTTATTATTTTAATAATATTTAAAGAATATTATAAACAATTGGAGTATAGTTTACATAATTTCAAAACCGTTTGGTAAATTTCATATAATTTTTTTTTTTTTGCGTTATATTGTCTATAGCTATATATTAAGAAATTATAAAGTTAATCATTAAAATTAATAAATTTATTAAAGTTAACCGGAAAAATAATCACCGTCTTTAAAATTTTAACAAAAATAAACATATTTTTAGCTAAATTAACAAATTTATTTATTGTTATTTAGAAAATTTTATGTTAAATTCTTTTATCTAGATCTCTTTAACAATCATATCATCACATTGATCTTTATATTTGATTTTCATATGACTAAATTAAATATTTTTTTAGATTTATTTTTAATTATTGTATAGTTAATTTCAATTTATTACAACACCCTACAGAGGTTAAAAAACAAACAAATTTTTTATTATAGGTTGCAACCATTTAATCCACCTCTTCTACTGAAGATGATTGCAGAATTGTTTTTGTTTCAAAAAAACAAACAACAGCTTAGATTTCATCCTTTGGAGTCCAAAACAATGTTCAAACTATGATAAATTTACACAAATGGTCCATATGCGTTCCTTTTAACATTTAAGTTGTTTGTTGACTTATGCATCAAGACTACATTTCCTAGAATGGCCTTTAAGAAAGAGGTTCATAAATTCATAGTGTAACAATTCTTCTCTATTTGAATGATTAAGCCTAAATAAACTTTTCATTCTCATTAACTTTATATCCGAGGTCCAAACTTCCTTCCATGTTTTAAAATAAGGTAACATTAGACCTTTATTTTGTCTCAAATCTTGATCTACTCGATTGATGACGATTTTCCAAAATATAATTATTACACTTTTCGTTTTCTATTCCCCCAAAAAACTCGATTACTTTATTAAATTTACAACAATTATATTTTTTTGTAACGTATATTAGGGCCCAATTATACATTTTAAGGACTAGGCCTAATTAAGACCCAATACTAGTTAGCCCTGGGCCATTTTACAAAGTTAGCAACTTCGT